GCGGACCAGGTGATGGCAGTGTGCGAGGCAAAATAAGAATTATTCAGGGAAAGAAGCAGTCGAAGTGGCAGGGGCCAAAAGGAATAAGACCTCCAGAGTAGAACTCAGTGAGCGATCATGGACTCTAAAAAGAAATCTAGAAAAGCTGGTAGTGGGTTTAGCAGCCATACTGTAAGCGAACGTCACGAAAGGCAGAATTGCATCTCAGTTCATGTGGTTGTGAATTGCGATCATGTCTGAGAGATCTGATCAAAGCATACTATCTACTAGATGTTGTCTTGTGAACAGTGTTGGGTGCACGCAAAACTTGGTCAGCAATAGAAGAGAGGAATACTTTTCCATGATCGCTGAAGAAAATTTATGGGGTTTCATGGCGTAAATAGATGTTGGGTAGAAATGGGTGACTCCAGTGGCAGTCCCAGATTGTAGAGAAGCTGTTTCGGCGTAGCGGGTAACGTGGTCGATGGCCGTGACAGTCCAGCGATTTCCGTTCATTATTATAGGAAGAGAATTATGTAAGTGGATTCTAATGACTCTGGCCGTGGCTTAGTGGATAGCCTAGTGACTAAGCTGTGGCCTAGTGGATAGGGCGTCTGCCTCGGCTTCCGGAGGTAGGTGGTTCGAATCCTGCCGCAGGTCACCCTCTGGTATATTGGGAAAGGCGTCCCCCCGACCCGACACCCTGTTGCTTACGGGGTGCGTGAACACCTGGGAAATCATCTGCCGGCAGCCCCGACTGCTGGGGCCATTACATTAGAACTCTAATCCGCGAGGGTGGTTAGTCTGTCGTCCATGTTGCCTGTGCCTGCCCCGATGAAATTCCAAGCTTCTGGCAGCATACGTAGCGTTCTTAGTCCCACCAATTAAAAACAATCGACAAGAAAGAGGTTGTATTAAGCTGGCAGGAGCAATTCTGGGTCGCTTTCGCCGTTGGCAATAGACACAGGAGGTGACGCACTTGGTGGCGGATGAAGAGAAGCCAGGCTCGAAATGACTTCATATTTTGTCGTAAGTTTTGTGATAACTTATATGACCGGCGGTTGGGTCATTGTGAAAAGTGTCCAGAACTTCATGTTGCAGAGAATGTGGGTGACGAGTACCCACTTGTTTCCATCGACGTGGTAAATGTAGAAGCATAAAGCACAACCGTGAAGCTTAATTTGTCTAAGTTGTCAACGGAGTCAGACGTTCAAAGCAGCAGTAGAGTCGGTCATGCGTTCTACAATGGTGCCATAGTATGGGTTGACACGTGTTGTGAAGCAAGAACAGATTTGGTACCGGATGATAGTGAACTTAGCGCTGCGATTGGAGAGAGTGAGTAGCGATGGTAAGTTGCCTGCGCTAGGCAGAGGGCAGCATGATAGAGCATTAGCTTCTTGATGCTTCTTCCCAGATCTGTGGGAAACATCGAAATTGTACTCTTGCAAGTGAAGCACCCAGCGACCGTGACGACCCGATAAGCTTTTCAGTGATAAAACCCAGCATAGTGCGTTATGGTCAGTAACGACTGTAAGGTGACAGTTGTAGAGACTTGATTGAAATCTTTGCACTGCCCAAACAATAGCAAGGCACTCCTGCTCGGTGATGCTGTAGTTCTTTTCTGCAGTGGTAAAAACACCACTTGCATCAGCAATGATGCGCTCACGCGAGGTGTTGTTGCAATTCCTAGACCATGACTCAGTGTGAAAGCATCAGTGTGAAAAATGGTAGGTGCATCTAGATCGAAGTGCACAGTACCAAATCTTATATAAGAGCTTGCTTCAACGTCATGAAAGTGCTTTTGCAGTCTTCGAACCAATTGATGATAGTGTTACTTGGGAGAAGTCAATAGAGCGGAGACGCAAATTCTGTGAAGCTGCGTATGAAGTGCCAAAAGTAACGAGCTAACCCAAAAAAGCTGCTTAAGTCCCTTTGACGTAACTGATGAGGAAAGTCGAGGACGGCGGCAGGCTTCTCAGGCTTTGGTCAAATTCCTTCTTTGCTGACTACGTGGTCAAGAACCTTGATTGTCTTGCCTGCAAAAGTAAATATCTTTGTGTTAAGCTGTAGACCAGCTTTTGCAAAGCATGCGAGGACTTCATCAGGACATCACAGATGTTGCAAGAACATGAAGGAAATCACTACTATGCTGTTGAGATAGCATATACTTGTTTTCTATTTTTATCATGCGTCCGAAGGGGGGGGGGGGGGCACATTGCAATGCCCGAAAGGCAGCGCATTAAACTCGTACAATCTATCTGGGATTGAAAAGGCGATCTTCTTTACGAGCCTCTGACATTGGTATTTTCAGTAGCCTGCCTAAGATTTAGGCTAGATAAATACTCGGCCTCGTGTAATGAATCCTGTTTGTCATTGATCTGAAGCAGAGGATAAACATCTTTGCACATTATTTTGTCTAGGGCACAGTAATCGACGCAGAAATGAACTGTTCCATCTTTTTTTTTTTTGGACAAGAACAATTGGAGGTGGCCAGGGACTCGAAGAAGAATGTGTGATGTTGCGTCGTAGCGTGATGTCTTTTTGATGATGTTGCGTTCTGCCAGAGACAAGCGATGTGGCTTCGATGTATAATACGAGAGCCGTCGATCTGGGTGCTGTGAGTAGCGGTGGTAGTCATGCTGATGACAGGTGAATTCACGTGGTCATACAAGTGCCTCAATACAAGTGAACCGATTTACGTGGTCATATAAGAACGGTGTTGGTTCAACAGGGCAGGCAAATCTTGACTTTGGGCAGGTGTCAGGTTAGTACTTATGGTTGCCAACAAAAGTATGGAAGAGACATTGTGTGGCAGTGATCTAAACTCTGGTACGTCGTTACTTAAAAGAGGGGCAATCTCAACAGGGGCTAAATGTCAACTGCGCAAGTGACTGTTGAGCCACAGGGTAGTAGTAAGGATTCGAGGGAATCAATGAACAGTCATTTACTTGTCTCGCTTCTAGTATGTGCTTGTGTGTGTGTGTGTGTGTGTGTGTGTGTGTGTGTGCGTGTGTGTGTTGTTTTAAAAGGATATTCATGGATAACTGGTTTAAATATATGAAAGAAGATCGCACTGAAAAACATAAACAATATTTATTCTGAGATTTAGCCGGGGACCAACTTTTATCAAAGATCTTTGATAAAGGCCGTAAGCGCAGAATAAATATTGTTTTTCTTTTTCACTGTGACCTTCTTTTATATATATTTATGTATATATATGGGAAGTGATACCAATATTACTTTCTTATGGCGTTTAGATTAGAAGTTATGCTGCTTTTCACACCGAATGCATTATAGATGCGTGCAGTAAGGAGGAGAGTGCCACTTGGTTGTGCGCATTATGTATCCCTATGGCAACTGATTCTAATTTGCTTACTAAATTCAAATGTAAACACAGAAACACTGTTTGCCAGTGGTTAACTTCTTTGTATACATTTATATGTTAATATGCATAAAACTAAAGTAATGTTCAACAGTCTCGGCAGAGAACAGCACTTTGTGATTGGTGGTGAGACACTGGAAGTTGTAAAAGAGCGTGTCTACTTAGGACAGGTAATAACGGTGGAGCCGAACCATGAGAGTGAAATAACTAGAAGAATAAGGATGGGGTGGATCACATTTGGCAAGCATTCTGAAATCTTGAATGGTAATCTGCTACTAACCCTCAAGATGAAGGTATATAACAGCTGCATCTTGCCAGTATTTACCTACAGAGCATAAACCTGGAGGCTTACAAAGAGGCTTCTGCTTAAATTGAGGATGACACAGCGAGTGATGGAAAGTAGAATGATAGGTGTAACCTTAAGAGACAAGAAGAGAGTGGATCAGGGAACAAGCCGGGCTTCAGGATATTGTAGTTGAGATCAAGAAGAATAAATGGACATGGTACGGGCTATAGTGTTGGCAGGATAACCGCTGGTCATTAAGGGTAACTGACTGGATTCCCAGAGAAAGCAAATGCGTGATAGGGAGGCAGAAGGTTATGTGGGCCGATGAGATAAGTGGCAGTAGAAGGCACAGGACCGAGTCAATCGATGGAACATTGAATAAGACTTGGTCCAGCAGTGGGCGTAGTCAGGCTGATGATGATGATATGGTAGTGGTTGACAAAAGAAGTGACTTCCATTTTTCTAACATTCTTACGTGTGAAACAAGGTGAAGTGTATTTTTAGTTCATCAGAGTAAAGTTTATTTTCACTGGTTCAGACCATACAGCGTGAGCCACTGTATTTGAGAACGGTGCACTTTTTTAAGCCACAGCAGCAGTTCCAGGAGCATCATTGTGAGCTACCAGAAAAATAGTGCTAGTGCTATAGTTGGGGACTGTCAATTTCGGCAGTAGCTATGGAGCTTCCACATATTCATGTTACCCCGATAGTGGTATTGACAGATTGCAGCTATGCCTGCTTCCACCGCCAACACGTGTAGAAAAACATGCACATGAAAAATGTGAATAAAAGAGAGATATTTTTATTGTTGAGTGCACATTTGAGTGTCATATTACGAGTATATATATTTTTTTAGTCCAGTTAACGGCAAGCTTGTGGTCGTACATGGATCAAAATACGTCAGGGACTTGATATGTACTTTTGTAAAATAGGCATCCATGTCTGAAAAGCAATGAAAAGCAATGAAAAGCAGAAATTATTTCAAAGTGTACGACATTTTCATTTAACCTACGACTTCCGACAACTGTTCTGGTCTCATAATAATTATAGCAGTACCTATTGGAGCCAGGCAAACGAGAAAGCTATGAGCAAAATGAGGTACTTCTTGATAGCTTGCCAGTAGGCGTGTGGTATGTTTTGGTAGCTTCCACAGTGCTAGCACCATTTGGTGATGGCTGAAAACACAAAAGGGAACGATATCTTGCATAACACTGTAGTAGTGTTATGCAAAGCACTTTTTGCAACCTCGGTGTGTGCGCAACAGAAATCTTGTTTTGGCTAGTTGTCGAGTCCTTGATTCATAAGTTCTTGAAGGTCTTGCAATGGCCCCTGTTTCTGATTCATCTTGTGCAGACTGAGCCGCCGCAGCGATCAGCACGACGGCGTCTTCCCCGAGGTTCCTGCTCTGCTGGTGGTTCCATGAAGCGGCCCTCATCGAGCCCCCTGGGTGAGGTGCTGTTCAACATGCCTGGAATTACGATCATGAATGAATAACCATTTTCAGAGAGAATTCATGGGATATGATTCACACTAGCTGTGCATTTTTGGTCAAAGCATGAGATCGACGGAGGCAGAAAATGGAAGGGATACATACGAGCGCTGGCTCTCAACTGAAAGTTCTATTTGAAGAACACAAGAAAATGAAAGCAAAAAATGAAATAAAAAATGAAGAAAGTGTGGAAAAAAAAATAGAGGCACATCAACATCATGCAGAAGTGTCAAAAGGAGAATAAAAAGTTACATATTGTATCACCTAACATTGCAATTCTGAGGAGATATGAGTCTGGACTGGGACCTCTCACAGGAATACTAGGAAGCAAATAATATGCCAGTAGCATGAAAATATTGTTACATGGAAGAAAGTATATGAACAGGATGTATTTGCGAACAAATGCGTACAACACTGCTGCAGTCCACACGCATCCCGCTCAGCAGCTCGTCGTTGTCCTTCTGAGGTATCTAATCTGCTCGGAAACTGAAAACTGCAACAGTTAAACCTGGATATAACGAAATTGATAAATTGGCGGAAAAATTTGTTATAAAGAAAATTTCGTTATATGGAGGTTCGGTACGGAAATTCGGAAAGTATATGCGCAAATAAACAAAAGGAGGACTGAAGGCAGAGCTGATACTTATTTTATATTGAAAAACTGTGTTATTATTGTGATAGCGATTGTGTGGGCACTTTCAGCAGATTTTTGTCATCGCCATCGTGTTCTGTAACAAGTCCAAATTGATAACATGCCCTTGTGCATCATAACATTCACGAGTGGGTAAAAGCGCGTGAGCACTGCTGAAGCAGACACCAGATGAGTTGGCCCATCCGTATTGCCTGGAAAGTGCATAAGATATCATCTCCCACGTGTTGGAACTGCCATCGAATGCTCAAGCAAAGTAAACCACTCGTCTTGAATGAGCATGAATGAGCAGTGGTTTTGGGACGTTAAACCCCACAAATCAATCAATCAATCAAATCATGAATGAGCATGAAACAACTCCGGGAGGGGGGGGGGGTATCGCTCGAGTAGCACTAATGAACTTGGATTTTAAGGGCGGTCACGATCACTGGTGTGTTCGCTATCTCAACAAGTATACCAGTGCGCTTTCAATGCGGAAAGACTCTGTGAAAAGGGCACTTCTCTCTGGAGTAACCGTATTTGCTTACACCAGCGTTTTGTAGGAGTTTCGCGAAATCGGATCGGAAAGAGTTGGCTGCCAGCCTTACTTCTTATAACATTACAATTTTTGTTATCGCGTTCATTGCATTGTGTTCCATTCAATGCACCGTCATGTTGCCAGAACTAATCAGCTAATCGCAAAAGCTACCAGCCTGCCAACTCGCGGTGTGGCGCGAAACGGAAGTGCGTGACGAGTCCACCTCCGAAGATCCGTCGTCACTGTGGTCTCGAAGAGTTTCCATCAGTGCCTTATCTCACATTCCCTGAATGGCGACGATACGGTTATCTGAAATTAAAAAGAGTCACAGTTTCGCCGCAAGGACGAAACATGCAATGAATGCCATAGCAACAAATTGGAATGTAACTCTGACAACGGCAAGCAGATCGAAACATGCAGTGTGCTGCTCATGCACAAATGATGCGCGAAAACAACATACACAGGACAAGAGGGACTAACAATGTTTACCGCTTGACACCTAATGCGCTGTTTAAGCAAAAACAAGGCACGAAATGGGACCACGGCTATAAATATGAGTGCAAACTAACAAGTGCCCTAGTTGTTTCTTCGTTGTGTTTGAAAAGCGCGCTCTTTTCTCAAACGGCACCTGCCCAGTGAGCGAAGTGATCTTTGTGTGCCCGGCAACTAAATGCAATCGTTACGGTCAAAGGCATGCGATTGTCCAGACCGAAGGATAAGCATGTGCACAGAAAGATCTACCCCCCCTTCGCGGGGTGTAATACGTGTAGGAGATAAGCGCGTCAGCGCCTTCTTTCTTGAGTTTGCATATATGTATACACACACACACACACACACACACACACACACACGTATACATATACAGTGACTGACAGCGCAGCGGCGATAGCAAAGAACCAGCGAAGACTGCCGATTTAATTGCTTTCGCCGCGGGCCACAGCATGCGTGCGCAGTGAAACTATGCACGGGCGCCCGGCGTCGAAAACGAAGAGCTCACGATACAAGCACAGACACGGATACTGCGGAAAACTATTCGGTAAAGTGCCCTCCATATGCAGCGTGGCCCTACGACACTAACTAAAAGCGTGGCACTGCCAATGCGCAAAAGTGGGTGGGCTCGGTGGCTGTGCCACGACGCAGTCTAATCCACTTCTGTTCGTGATGCAGGATTTCGTACGCGCTATCAGCTGCATGCTCGTACCCGTTCTTCTGGGCCCGGTATCATGCATCGATGCGAGCAACCCTTTCCCGTCAAGGTCCGTCAACGCAGATGACTGGCGCCTACTTCCAGCATTGGCCACCACTGCCCTATCGACGCTGCAGTCCGGAAACTGGACGCTCGAAAGAGCTCTCACAGTTTCACCGTCATCGACTTCAACAAGCGCACGGCGTATAAATCCCCCCCACCAGCCGGCCGCGATCTGTGGGCTCGGTGGCTGTGCCACGACGCAGTCTAATCCACTTCTGTTCGTGATGCAGGATTTCGTACGCGCTATCAGCTGCGTGCTCGTACCCGTTCTTCTGGGCCCGGTATCATGCATCGATGCGAGCAACCCTTTCCCGTCAAGGTCTGTCAACGCAGATGGCTGGCGCCTACTTCCAGCATTGGCCACCACTGCCCTATCGACGCTGCAGTTCGGAAACTGGACGCTCGAAAGAGCTCTCACAGCTTCACCGTCATCGACTTCAACAAGCGCACGGCGTATAAATCCCCCCCACCAGCCGGCCGCGCTCTGTGGGCTCGGTGGCTGTGCCACGACGCAGTCTAATCCACTTCTGTTCGTGATGCAGGTCAGTAATCATCACTGTATTTTTGCTAAAAAAACAAGCAACCGATGCCTTGTTCAGCTACCGAGCCCCCAGTGCTGTGTTTGCATTATTTTTGATTGTATGAACATTGTGTTTTCTCTGCTGTTGCTGTTGGGTGGAGATATTGAAACTAACCTTGGTCCGACCACCCTAGAGCAAATAATTACTGAAAAAGCTTGTCTTCCGGTCAATCCTAGCTCATTAGCGATGTACAAATCCTAAAAAGCCAGCTCTCTACCACTGATAAAGCCATTTCTGAACTTGGCAAGAGAATCGACAGTCTAGAATCTCACTACAGTAGTGTCGATACACTCCGATCCGATCTTGACGCCATGGCCACCGCCACCTCCCAGACAGCTACCCAGGTCTCTGTACTAGAGGCTCAGCTGGACGACGCGGAGAATCGTTCCAGACGAAACAACTTGTTGTTTTACGGCCTAGCGGACGACAAGCCATCCGAAACGTATGCGCAGTCTGAGGAGCGTATTACTGGGTTTTGCAGGGACCACCTAAAAATAACTGTCGAATCCAAGGATGTCGAGCGTGTCCACCGTCTTGGCCGCCACTCGCAAGGCCGGTGTCGGCGTATTATAGTGCAGTTTACATCCTTCAAAACCAAGGAAGCCGTCCTTGCTAAGGGCCCCCAGCTTAAACATACAGATTTTAGCATCGGGGAGGATTTGTCGCATCGGGTCCGGAATGCACGGAAGCACCTACTGGCTAAAGTAAAATCAGATCCCTTCCTTTTACGGTATAAGACCCTTTTTATGGGCTCCGAACGATACGTATTTAACGAGGCAACTGAAAATGTAGAAGAAAGCTCGTAGCAGTTGCCTTCACGCCCCAGATCTTCTAATTGTCCCGTCTTTGGTCACAAAGCCAATCTTTCTTTTTCGGTCATTTTCACCAACATACGTAGCTATCTTTCCAAACGCGACCACATGTCCGACCTTGTATCTTCATCTAACAGCAGCCTACTTATACTAACTGAGACGTGGTTGACTTCTGACGTCACCAACAGCGAAATTTTGACCGACTTGCCTCACTTTAATCTTTCTCGAAAAGATCGTCCCGGCACCCGGGGCGGCGGCGTCCTGATTGCTACTAACGAACAACTTTCATGCTCCCTTATAAACATTGATTCCGACTTAGAAATATTGTGGTTGCTTTTTCGTTCCGTACCACTGTCCGTACTATTAGGTGTTTGTTATAGGCCTCCCAAAAGTAGTCCGGATTTCGCGCGCCAGCTTAATGGTATTTTAGCCGAACTTACGACCAAATACCCAAATGCTCACGTCCTCCTCCTGGGGGACTTCAATTTTCCTAACATTGATTGGTGTAATCTAACTTCATCTGCACCCAATGCAAAGGAGGCCAATGATTTCCTTGATGTTTGCCTCAACTTTAATCTCACTCAGTTGATAACACAACCTACACGTGTTACTCGAGATACTGCTAACATTCTTGACCTAATCTTAACAACTGATCCTGAGAGCCTTTCTTCTATAACATATCTTGATGAAATAAGTGACCATAAGGTCATTCACGCTAATTTTACCTTCGTTCCTCAAATGCGCCAAGCCTGCACTAAAACTATTAGGTTATATGACAAGGGTAACTACGCGGCCATCACTCGAGAACTTGAAGTTTTCTTCCGACGTTCCGTGATGGTTTCTGGGAGCGACCCATTAACGATAACTGGTTAATCTTCAAAAACAAGTTAAACCAGCTAGCTGACCAATTTATCCCTAAAATAAGCTTTCGTCCTACCCGCCAAAAACCTTGGTTTACTAAAACATTAAAAAGGCTGGAAAATAAGAAGAAACGCCTCTTTCGGGCTGCGAAGAATAAAAACACTGATTCTGCATGGGAAAAATACAAGGTTGCCGAGAAAGCATATTCAAGTGAAGTGCGCAACGCCAAGCACTCATTTTTTCATACGGAACTTCGAAAATTCTTGCTGATTCACCGAAGCGTTTCTGG